GCCTAGTAGAGCCGGCAAGGGTGTAGGGTGGACATGTGAGCATTTAGTGGGTTTCAAAGATTGACTTATATGGACTACCTGCTTACTGACTCGCCAGTGTTTTTCCTGTGTAGAGCTAAACAAATAGACAGAAATCAGTAAACAAAAGCAAGGAAAAACGTTTTTGAACTCTATGTTTGACATTACATAAGCTCTATTTACAGAATATTGTTAAATTGCGTCTTTCATCCTACTTAAACACGAAAACGTGGAACGTCTAGACACCACCCCAACCTTTTGTAAAGAAAGAAACAAGGACCTCCATAAAATGGCAATCCAAATGTTAAAGTAACAGGTGGAGCAGGTGGCAAAAGAACTTAACGTAAAAAACCGACCGTTATTCATTATCCCGAGTCCCTACGGAGTCCCGACGGGTTGCATAATAAAGCCTTTGGAGTTGTAGAGACGACTCTACTAAAGCCTACTAGTGACATCTGTTGAAAGGCAAATGAAACGCAAGAAGCATCACTACGAAGGTAACTGCGAATGGTGTTCGAATACAACAGCCATAGAGCCTTCGTTTTCATGGTTTTTTTTTTCGTTACACTATTCTGTAAAGGAAAGAGAAACCATTACAGTACTGGTTTTATATTGTAAGACTTGATTGAGAAAGCACAACAAGCATATGTTTATTATAAAGCGTTAAGCATTTACTTGGCATACTTAGTTCACTATGCTATACATAGATGGCGCTTCTTAATGGTTGAAGTAACTTTTTTATATTAGCTCTACATTACTAATTACGTTAATTATTTACTTCGATGTTATTGTGTTGTTAATTTGACGCAATAGTCTGTCACACGGTGTCTAACTTCCTTGTTTTTGAGTATTGAGGTGAGGTACCACCTGGGTTAGCTTCTTCTTTAGCTTAATTAATGGAGTTATAAACATAGTCTGGTTTTAAAATTTTAATATTAATAGCACATCACATTTTTATCACAAGATCGCACTTATAGGTACCACAGTTTTGAGCTTCATGTTTCCTCGTAGTCCTCATAGGCTACTACGACTACGAGGAACTCAAACGTAAATTGTAGAGTTTAGGTTTGACGAACTAAATGTAACTGGTGCCCAAAAAGTCTACTAAACTTGTAATATAACTATTCATAAGCATCGAGGAATCGAATGAAAAGTCAATTTAAGCCATGAAGCGGCTTAATTTGCGGCTGTGGTGGTGGCCGGCACCCCGCAGACGTTCCGCTGGCTGCGCGCGCGCCGACGCGCTCCGCCGGGCTCGCTGCGCCATTGACTGACGCATCCACACCCTTTAGGAATTTCTACCACGAATAGGTCAGATATTTTCCAAAATCACCTCTATTACAATTACCTTACTTAAGAGAGACTGGGGATTGGGGTCAACCCCTTTTATGGCATGTTACCGTACCGAAGTTCTTAACTCGATTTCAATATGTTACTCTACCTAATTTTCCGATTTGATTTTTGGATAATTTTGAGATTTTTCCCACTCATAGCACCTTGCACTTTTTAGATTTTGGTGATTTCATTTCTAGTATTTGTATGTTTCATTAATGGCATCTACTAACTCAAACGAAACGTAATTTTTCACTTGAAAATATCAAGTGGTATGTACTTAAGTTTTGAACCCACGACCTTTCGTTACGACTGAACTACGACGGAGTCATTAACATGCCGAAATTTTAAAGTGCAGCATATGATTTTTTGTTTCACACTTGAAGCAGTTGATTTGTGCCTACCTGCTGCAGGTTTAAGTTCTTACTATTCTGCAGTTTTTCCAGAAATTGCTAAATGAAGTTTCAGTCCTAAATTTGAACCCTTTTTGTACTACCTATGACTATGAATCATGATGCAGGAAGGTGTTGACGCGCATCGCTGCCCGCCCGCGACTGACCCTCGTTGCATCCACCACCCTTTGGGAATTCCCACCCATTTCCCTTCGACGGGATTTCGGGACCGTGAGCAGCACAAGGATCTTCGGTTCGTTACTTGGTGATTTACAATTGCCACTTGTCCTGATGCATTTTAAAATCGCGTTTGTAAATGAAAAACAATCGGTATTAATTTCTTTGTTAATATAACATTTAAATCCTGCAAGTCTATTTTTGTGACAACCTGTTTCCTAAAAAGTTAAATGGAAAAGTTCCTGAAAAGATGATGGGTAAAATTAGACTATGAATAGAATTAGTCTACGGAAACACTTCTACGGAAAATTCATGGAAAATTCTGACTGGTACTTCGTTCGATTCCATACCTAAGCTAACTTAGGTATTTTCCTCTTTGAAATAGCTTTTTTGAATTAATTGAGATTGTAGTCTGGGGAACCTACTCGTCCTAACTTCCACTTAAATATCAATGCTTCTTTCATGATAAGGTTCATTAGGCAGTAGGTACTTTGGAGCTGACGTAAACACCTTCTAGGTAATGAAATCGGAATACAGCTCATGCAAGCAGTGCATGGAACTTATAAACTACGTAACGTCGTCTACGTAGTTTCAGATATTAAGTGACGTTGGATTTATTACCATTTGTGGCTGCACAGGTGTAACCATTGTTTACACGGCGTGCGAGCCTCGCTGAAGGCGCTGAATGGCTCGCCACCTCGCTGGGGGGCAGGGGAGCGGTGACCTGCTGCCCCCGCCCCCCGCGCCGGTCGCAGCCGCGGCCGCAGCCTGCGCCCGCGCAGAAAGTCGAGCCAGTTGCTCGCCGCGCAGCCTCCTGTTTGTTTACATTCGATAACATAAATTCGTGATGTTATAACGTTTCGCAAATCACACACTTCCGCAGACCTTCATGGTATTTCAAAGTGAATCACGCATTGTGCACCCGCGACGGATTTTACGTGGTCAGTGATTGCCTGAGTGATGTTATAGTATTGTCGTGCTGCACGTTTTGTCACTTCGACTCTGCACTAAATTGCAAAGCTGGTTTTTAGTGATAATTTGCATTGTTGTTATTACAGACGCTTATAGCCACGTCTCCTTCATACATTTACTTGAAAATTTTTCATCTCGTAATTTCATGTGACATTCAAATTGTGTTGTGTGCTTCAAGTTCCCTTATTAGCATTTTTCTCATATCTTATTATTATTTGAAATTAGTTAAATTATATTTAAAATACAGAATTTGAATGTAACCATTGTAGATTTTGATAGATCTTCCAATTACAAAATTTGAATAATCACCCAGACGTGAGTTCAGGTGATGTCCATCGGAGCATGCGCGCTGTTGCATGACTGCACGCAAGTCCGTTGCTCCTGAACTGACCGTGGCTATGTTGTTTTATAGTCTTCATTAGTTTTTGTATGGGTAATTATTGTTAATGGAAAATATGGAAACTGCTCGTTCATTGCATTGAAAGTGAGGAAACTATTGGAAATCGAACTGCCTTCCTTATTATAGGACATGTCTATCACAATATCTTTGACGTCGTATTAAAATTTATGGAGCATATACTTATTCGTAAACACTGGATTTCATGGGTGGCCAAGCAACCAATGAATAGAAAGTAAATAAAATTATAGCCAAAGAAAATCGTTGACACTGTTCCTAAGAGACTGTCAATGGAGTACGGTGAGACTAATGGCATCATGGCCGCGGGATTACTATGGCATTGTTATTTGAAGAGTGTGTCGGTAACATAATAACTGGCATCGATCTAGATACCCAGATCTTGAGATATAGAAAGCAATGTCACGTCTTGGAATAGAGATTTTCTTGAAACAGTTAGAACTGTAACGTATATCTTTGAACTAACCAAATAAGTACTACATGCACGACAACTCTTAATTTGTTATGCAGTTAACATACATTTCTGGTGGCCACAAGTACAAAAATAAACATTTTCTTAACATCTGACCTCAAATGAATAGTGGGAAGTTTTAAGTTTCCTATAGAAACAAAGGGAGTTCTCAGCTTAAAGTTTCCATTCATATTGTTGAAAAACGGGCTTAATTAAGATTTCTTGAAGCAGTTTCCCCTGCTGTTCATACCCTACCCACTTGCGAGCTCCCACGTACCTTTGGATAGCCTCCATTTAAACCGTGATGACAATGGAGATGGTTTGGTAACATTGGACATAATAGCTAATTGTCAAGCTGAAGCGGCCTATCGCGTTACACATGGAATATACTTACATATCAATCGAGTTAAACTAACCAATAAAAGATCTTTTGACCACCTTCTTGATTCTATTCAGCATATTATTACGTATGCTGAATAGGAATATCAAATCCTAACATTCAAAAACATTACATTAGAAGATGGCATAATTTTGCAAGTCTTATGTCGTAATTTGTTGCGAATTCAACAGAAATGTTTCTAACCAAAGGTAAATGTCCATTCAACTAAAATCTGTCTGTAAACAAGATAAGCACAATTGCCTAATACGTTTTAAGTTGCTTATTAGAATTCAATAAACTGAATAGACCCAGTTTTACCTTTAGAGTCAGCACAAAAATATGCGGTTTCTACTTTTGGGTATCCTATTCAAATATGGCTCTTTCATTCCAAATAGATTTCACTTTCGTACTTGATTCAATGGTGAATTTATTTTCGTCTAAATTCGTATTTGGTTTTGTTCCAAGTTCTTTTTTTAACATTTTTAAACACTGTTTCTACATTGTTCTTGTTTGAATATTTTATCCCAGCATATTATTGTCTTCATTTCAATTTCAAAGTCCAGCACTTTGTATGAGAATAAATTAAATAATATCAAGATTTAACTTGTTATCAGAGGATTTTATTCTTATTAATATTTTTCCGTTGCCATGGAAATAGCTTAGTATCTCGACCGCAAAATCGTCAGGCTAGATTCCGCTGCATTTTGATCATAGATAGAGCATGCCGGTGAATTGTACGTAGAAGTGAATGTGCATTAAGTGGGGGGAATGGTGATAGCTAGATAACGATGGAGCGATAACGGGAGGCCGCCGCGGCTAGCGTCGGTCGCGAATTTTTTACACTTTTTGCTCGTCTGAGGCCAGACCTTCTAGCGGTGTTTGCGGTGTGATAAAGTTGTATCGATGTTTACCGGCAGTCACAACGTGTTGACTCGGTGGAGTGTCCTCGTCGCTATCTATAACGTGTAAACTGTGCCTTCGCGGACTGGAAAACTAATTTAAAAGATAAAAACATGAGTGTAAAATTGTTAAGTGAAGTGTGAATAATGAAGGACTCTGCTCCACGGTGCGAGGACGTAGCCGACAAGCTGGTGCGCCTGTTCGGATGGCGGCAGACGTATCCTGTGCAGAAGCTGCAGAGGAACATCTTGCCTAAACCTAATGAGACGGTAAGGGTTTTTAGAAATTATGTAGAGAAAGGGCATCCTTGCGGCTTGTGATGAATTTTCTCCACAATGCTCTATATTTTGTTTTGCAATATTGACATTATTTCATACAACTTTCCTGCGGAATAATTTAAGTTGGAAACAATATTTTAATTAAATACGAGTATAGTAGGTATACTTTCCTAATATGATATGCCCGTAAATCTGAAGCGACGACTTTTATTCCATAAAAGCTAGACTTAGTCATTTCGTGCCTTGAAGACTATAGTCTTATATATATAAAAATGGAACCCGTTTCGCGTTGTCACGGCATCACGTGTGAACGGCTGAACCGATTTCGATAATTCTTTTTTTTAAATGTTTGTGGAAGTCCAAGGATGGTTCTTACGGAAAAAAATATTAAGAAAATCTCTACGCTAAGGCGGTACGAAGTTCGCCGGGTCAGCTAGTTATTTATAAGATAGAACCTACTCGTTGGAATCCCACTTTTTCCCCCTAGAGGTTTTCTGTTTGGGGTATAAAACAAATGCCTTTTCCATGATTCAGTTATATGCGGAAATATCTTTATTAGTATGTTTTCATTTCTATCAGCTTTAAATTACATTTTTAATCTACAGCACGCTTAATTTTTGATTATGGAAAGAGCTGCACGTGTATCATAACCTGCAGTTAACTTGCATAACAAAGGTCAATTGTTTTGTTTGATCAACGTAACTTCCCGTGATACGCGTGGTTATCGCGCCTTTCACGGGCTTTGTGATCTGAAAGTGTTTGAAAGCATTTCATTATAGCGAATACAGTCAGGTGCATAAAAACAATACGGAATTGTGTTTAACCTTAGATTATTACTAAAAGGGAAGATACGTCACGTGTCACGCTCAAAGGATGTTCAGGACACCATTTTACTTCAGTTATCTGTCTGTAAGGCTTTAACTACTGAGTATATTAATACTTCTTGCACATCAAAATTGCAAAGATCTACAAAAATAACCGTTCGTTGTTAACACAGTTCTAAAATAGTAAATCTCTTTTTAAAGCTTCCTTTAGGGCTAGAGATATTAAAATTTATCTTCTTAGTCATTATCACAATGAAAAAGCTATGTAAAGCTTTCAATTGATTAGGGTATTCAGCACCATCTATGGCTCTACTTATCTATAGTAGCTCATTATGTTGGATCCTAGAGCTTTGAACTTAATACTTAGCAGTGCTGTCTCTAATCCTCATTCATGACATCATGGGAGGGTACTTAATTGAGACAGATGGACCCACAAATGTAGAGTGGGCTCGCAAATCATACCTTCTAAACATACGGAAGTATTTTGCTTCAAGTAGTTCTAACCTACCTGACTGTACATCGCAATTACGCCAATGGTATTCCTATACCGTCGACAATTCACGCGCGAGGTCACCGAACCCGCGTGGTGGCGTGCGAACCGCCCCGTTGACTCATACGTCATGCGAGTCCAGATAAATGTACTTGTGTGGAAATTACTGGAAGATGAATGATATACAACCTATACGACATTTGGAAGAGCATCGTGGTAGAGGGTTTTTTGCTGGTTTTAAATATGAAACCCGATCGCATTATGACCATTTTGCGCATGGGACAAAAGGCGAATGGGACTGATTTCGAATGGGACGGAATGCAAATGGGACCGAATGCGAATGGGACTGGGAATGGGATTTTTGAATTCGTGACGAAATGTGAATGGGACGGTCGCGTCAAACCCAAATGAAATAGCTATGTAATATTTAGCAAGCAACATAGAGATAATGAAACTTGAATTTATAAAATGAAATGTAAGAAAATAATGTAGCTACTAAGTACGAGTATTATACCTACTACGTGTACCTACCAACCCACTATTGAACCGAATAAAAGAGAGCCGCGAGAGTTGAGAGAACGTGTCACGTATCAAACGATCTTTCACTTTAATACGAGTAAAATCTTTATTCTTTGTTTAATTCTGACCTCGATATTGCTGTTCATACTCGACAATTTACTGGGAAGTAGACAATTTCGCATCATGTATGGTACGGTTAAATGTGGAGCTATTGTAGAGCGATCTGGGACGATTCCAATAAATTACGATTTGCAGCTGTTGTCTCTACAACATTCTTCTAATTGCTCCATATTTTTGAATCAGTTGGAATTTTATTTGATGTTCTTTACAAATTATTGTTTATTACTGTTTACCTACTTGTGAAACGATTCACGAGACCCGACCGGGGGAGAAAGGCTTTGTTAATTATTTCGCATTGTGACCGCCAATAATTGATCAAAATTACCATAACGTATTGTCTTTATTGGAACAATTTTACGACCCGTGCAAAAACACTATGCCCTATCTATTTTTGCTGGAAAGTTACTGGTATCATTCGATAGAGTTTTGAGAACAGTTTGCAAGAAATATCAATTGTGTAATTAATCGAAATTGAACTTCAATCGAATACCAAATAATGGGAACTGACCTTGATTGGTTAGTCAAGCGGCACTGCGCAAGAGTGTACCGCGCAGACAACTTATTTTTCTTACAGATAATGCCCAAATTAGAATAACTATTAGGATGTTCTAGTAATAATGTTTAACGAGAAACTAATTAGAATAGAGATCATTTATGTATAACATGATAGTTACTACGAGTGTAATTAAATTAATACGTCAAATAGCATACATTCCTTTGTAGATCAATTTGAAGCATTAATTAGTTAAAAAACCTTAATGTAATGTAAACCAGAGGCAATACACTTGTAAATGCAAATATAATTTTGTTGTTATTATTATTATAGCCTGCCATGCATGATGTTATGCTGTAATATCGCACTAATTATAACTAGGTAGAGTATTTTGTTTAGCACGATATACCTAATTATTTATAAGCAATGCACTAAATTCGTAGAGTCCTACCTATTTGTGAGTAAAAAAGGATTTTAAACATGGAAAGTTCATCATCGTCATCATCATTTCAGCTACAAGATGTCGCCCACTGCTGAAAGTTCTCTCCCAATGATTTTAGAATGAAAGTTAATTTAGACCAAATTCTAACTGTGGAGACTAAATGACGAAAAGTCAATTTATATTTGACTGCTCATGCACTATAGTTGTGTTGTGGTACTCTTTGGTTACGACAATACGACACAATTGCAGGCTGCGTCCACTATGCGACCTCTGCGCAATCCGCATTGAGCGCGTGCGCATTTCCGCCGAGTTTGTATAGCGAACTCAACGCAAAGTACACAATAACTATTACTATATTATGGCTTTGTACACCTTCAACTAGTGAATAGCTTTTAAAAAATAAATATTCATAAACGCATTTTAAATCTTTACTAATATTATAAATGCGAAAGTAACTCTGTCTGTCTGTCTGTCTGTCTTGCTTTCACACCTAAATCACTGAAACGATTTTGATGAAATTTGGCATAGAGATAGTTTGAGTCCCGGGAAAGGACATAGGATAGTTTTTATTCCGGTTTTTGAAACAGCAACGCGCGCGATAATGTTTTTCTGTGACAGACAAAATTCCACGCGGGCGAAGCCGCGGGCGGAAAGCTGTCAGTCATAGGCTGTAATCTAAAATTTTTATTTCAGCAATTCAGTCCTATTTCAGATACTTACAACAAAAGAAAATAATATATTCTCAAGGTGGTAGAGAAAAGTCGACCTTTGTTTCAACTTGTTTTCCTTGATATTGAACAATTTTCAGTAGCCTTCGATTATGCTGTTCTAGTTTAAAACAATACTTCTGATATCTCCAAGTAGGTATAGTAACGAAAAGGTAGTGAAATACATAGTTCCGTCATAAGCATAAGTGTTTTTTGTAGAAAACTGTTACAGAGTTTTCTCCATGTGGGGTAAACAATTGACTATAAAAAGAGGTGTAGCATTCATTGTCTTTCATTGTATTTTTATCAAGCTACTTACTAATGAGGAATTTCGTATATAGGAAGTATGTATTGCATATTTTACTTGATATCTATAGATAATGCGACGCATTGCCTTTTGCTGACGAATTATTTCACTTCGTCATACCTACCTTGCTAATCTCAATTATTTTCAACGTTGAAGTTGTTTGATGTATAATAATAAATAATAAATGATAATATTTTACACGACTGTGTGCTTGGTGCAAATATAACACTGGGTGTGTTTTCGAAGGCCACTTTATTGAAAAGACAATAAGAACTAAGCTTGTCCATTAATCATTAGCGTATTATCTTTGGTATTTATTATTCATGTCGATAGAGTCATAGTCATAGTTAGATAAATATTTGCTCAAGATTAGCCTAAGAAATATTTTGGATTAGGTATTGTAAGGAAAAGTATACGACAAAGACACTGAAAATTTTTGTATGCTTATGGCGCAGTTACACTATGTGGGAAATTGATTGAGAATTCGAGATAGTGTAAACACGCACTTCAGTTAGTTTCGCCGTGTGTAGCTCATACTTCGGTGTGCGTGCTCGCGTTTCGTCTCGGTCAATTTCCCGCATAGTGTAACTGCGCCATTAGAGGGATTACCAACCACGTTATTAAATAAGTTTTCCTTTTTGATAGAGCAATCGATTGGATTTGCGAAAAGGTTGCAAAAAATGTGGTCATCTGAGGCAGATTATATTTTTGTGAAAATTGTGAATCAAAAGTGATATGAACATAAACATTTCAAAACAAATGTGACATTAAATTATTGATAAACGGAATTGAATACAATATAATGTGTTTATTATCGGCCGTTTATCGCGCAGCACCTGTTTCACTCGTACGGCTTATCGTACGCTCTGTAATCCGGATTATATGTATAAGTAGTCAGCGTGTTAGAAAAATAATACATTTTTAATAGCTTATTCCGACAATCCCCTGCAAAGAGGTTCTTAGGAATATTTAGCTGGAAAAGATTTCTAAAATTTCAAAAATCGCTTTGAAAATGCGTCTAGACTCTGGATTTACGACTATGTAGGTATGCGAATTTTTAACCATTTGTCCAAATGAATTAATTTTATT